AAAAAAAAAAAAAAAAAAAGGAAGGAAGGAGACTTTTTGTAAAATCATTAGATAAATCTTTTGGTTTTTGCTATTCAATCTTCTGATCTTTGCTTAATTTTTTTAAAACTAATAAAATTCTTTTAACTGAATTAATTAAGCTCAGTTGTGCTGCAAGTAATGTACATTTAGCAATGCTGACTCATCAACAGTATTCTATAAAGTCGTGTAATTTTTTTTTCGTTTGTATAATTGCATTAAAAGATTAATGGCATTAATAAATTGGAACACGTTTTATAAGGATAATAAAATAAAAATATTTCAAAAAAAGTTATCAAATGTTGAAACTCGGATTCTGTAAAATCGGTCATTGATACAACAACCGATTATCGTTTTATTGTTTTCATTCTTTTTCGAGTTTAGCACAAGCAATTTGACTGCATCTGCTAGTCACCTACAATTATCTTTAGTGATCCTGACTTTGATATTGACAAGGAAAGAAAAAAAACTCCAGCAAAAACAGTTGACCTTTGCGCCATTGCAGATTAATCCTTTATTTTTTCAGCAAAAAAACCCAAAAAAATAAATTTCTTATCTTTTTTCTACCTTCTTCTTCCTGCAAATTAGTGAGTAGCTTGTGAAATATGAATAAAAAACACAAAAAAAAAAATGTGACAATGACTGCATAAATTGTCTACTCATCATTCAGTTCCATTTACTTTATATCCTCTGCCATCAAATGGCTTCTTTAATTATCGTTAATCATTGCTCTTAATTAACAAACTTTATCCATCGATACCAGTTATTACTGTCCTCCTTGTTAGACTTAATACTATGAAGGAATTTTAAAATTTGAAAATTTGGCTGAGTAGCTCCAATTATCTACACACATCATTAAGAAAACTAACATTTTATGACTGTATGTGATTCCAAAAAAATGTAAACTTTGGAAAACACAGATGACGTTATGATAAGAAATATTTTCACGATACTGTCTGCTATTTAGTGTCGTTGACCAAATTTTGTAGGATATATTGGTTAATCAAAATACCAACTATAGGAAAAGTGATAACATGAGTCGTTTTGCAACAAAAAGCTGCATAACAGTGGCAAAACACTCAGTTTTAGTGTTAAAGAAGCCAAAAAAAAAGACAAAGCATTTTTGAAACTGAAGAATGATTTGAAGAAACGAGTTATATTGAAAGTCCTTTATTGCGCCAAGGATATTAGTAATTTTCCTTTAGCAATACTGACTTTTACACCTTTATTCCTAACACCCTTACAGTTTGACTAGTTTGAAGCCAACCAATTACCTTTATTAGCTGTGGTTTTTTTTTCTAAGGTTAAACAGTTTTTTGTAATTTTATTTGGTTCTTGCCTTAGACTGTTTTGTTTAAGTGATATGGACTCGTTTTTTTTGGCTTTATCCTGTCTATATCTGATATGAACTGCAACGGTGATAGCTTTCTCATGTCATCAACTAAAACCAGAGGAGAAAGAGGGGCAAAATAACGAACAAAATGTAACCGACTGGAGTAAAATTTAATTTTTTTTCCTTTTTCATCTTTTCTCAAACATAATTCTTGTAAGTCAACAAAAAAGAGCTGTACAACTCCATTTTTTTTTCTCTCCCAGTTAATGGTATATGGGTTTTGGTAATGAAGAGTAACTGATATTTGGCAGGTAACAGGAAATTGTTGTGGCAACAGCAGTTGCTTTTAAAAACTGTTTCTGAATATCATTGGACTTCTTAATTTGACCAACGCTTTTCAATTTTTTTGTTTTGGTAGGAAGGGGAAATCTTACAGAAGTCAAAAGAACAAACATTTTTTGTTTACTTAGTTTTCTTGTGTTTCGCAAAGAAGTTTCATTAATCGGTTCACACTGTTATTGGCATACAGAATAAGAGGAAAAAAATGAATAAAAAAGAGGAATACGAAGAGGCAAAAAAAAGAAGACCTAGTGAATGAGTCAGTAAACGTTGCACTGTTTTGTTGATAGACATCAACGACGATTATCATTATCAGTATCATCAGTATCATTAGCATTATCAGCATCATCATCAGCAGTATAATTATAAACACCATAATGATTATCAGCGTCCCATTTAGGCTGATGAAACATTTACTTTACCGTACAATTTGCATAACAAGTAGGTTTTACTATTTTGCTGTCTTTTTTTTTTTTGTCTATTTTTTTTTCTTGAGCACAACTTTAGATAACTATTTTATCAACCAAATCGGAACATTGGGAGATCGGCAACATTTTTTATTTTGTATAAAGTTTCATCCTTGGGCTCCATTAGTGCACGACCGTTCCTTTCCATTAAATAACCGGCTCTTGAATCATCCAAATAAAGTGTTCTTTCAGGTTCTACTGAAAAAATTGCAGGATTATCAGCTGTTATGTTCATTGACAATAATTATTAAAATTCCTGACGATTTACACTGTTATTTTCCTGACACCTATGCATGCAATCAACCAGCGTTAGTTGTTACTCAAAAAGCAACAGTAGCCATTTGCACAGTATTAGTGTAATGATATGCTACCTGTCAATTATCAGAAAAGTTTAGTTGAAAACAAGAAAAAACGCTCTTTTTTCCTCAGTATATCAGTGCCTTTTGTCTTGATTGAACAATCTATCTTAGGCTAAAACAAAAGCGAAGAAAAAGCAGTTAAGCTTTCTGTGATAAGTGACAAAAAAAAACCAAGAAAGTTCTGTTGATAATGGAAACTAACATTGGTAGGAACGTTGATCCATCTGGAGGCGATGAAAAGCTGATGCATTAGATGCCAACACTAATAAATTCAGTACAAGAAGAACAGGTGCAAGTATTGAGCTCATTGTTGCTCTGAAAATACTCAACAAACCAAATTGCTTCTAATATAAGAGCACTAACGACAACCGCAACGACGGCAACTGCATAAACTGATAGAACATCAAATCCAAAGATGAAGAAAGAAAAATGAAATTAAAAGGAAAAAAGGTAAAATAAAAATTATGCACATTTAATAATAATATTTGATTATTCAATAACATTAGCAAAAGAAGCGATGGCAAAAACAAACAGCAACAGTCTTATAATGACATTAATGATGATAAGAAATTCGATAAATTGACCTATAAACAGCAAAAAAATTCAAAAAGTCAAAAAAAAAAAATTACATTTGTTTTTCAATCACCTTATATCAACAAAATGCGGTATTTAGTTGTTTCGTTGGTATCAGCGGTGCTCAATTAGCACTTTTCAGATTCTGTGTCTTCAACGGTCACACAGTGATGAAACAAAAATTTTCAGTAAGCTATCCTAATACTTTTTTAGGCTTCAGGCGCGATGAAATTAAATGATATTAAAAGAGGTTATGTTACCTAAAGGTTTCTTATTTGCTAGTTAAGCTAATTACCAGCTTACAAGCTAAGATGACAACCAGATCAAA